ATTATATACTATCTTAGATTACAGAAGTTTAAAACACTAATTGCGAACATTATGATTTTGTATTACAATAAGTTCATGAGCTTTTTGTAAATAAGAAGCCCCATAGAAGTTTAAAACACGGTGACGATCTTCTATCGTCTCTCTTACACTGATCTTACACTTTCCTTATAGGTTAGTTTTGAGGTTTTGTATTACTCTCGTAACTAATAACCGTGTAGAATTTAGGCTCGTCGTGTGAAATATAGATATCTATCGATCAGTTTATGGGGAATACATTAAAGTTCCTCAAGGATATAAAACTTTTTGAAAATCATTACTATATATTTTAGGTATGTATTGACTCTGTTAGTATCCTATTTTATAATCATACGAGAAAAAAAATTACAATCCTGAATTTGAACAGATCGTGAACATGTGTTTGGGCTGAAGTACGAGAAGAAATTTCATACATAGAATATTAATAATTTAGGAATATGAGCACAATAGATTCAAGAGAAAATGTGAAAAATACAATATTAGTATTGTTATTGAGTTGCAAAGAGAGATATACTTACCTTGAGGCAATTAAATACTGATTATGAGGAATCAGAAAATTAACATATATCATGGAAAGAATTGTGTCATTCCTCTTTGTTAAGATTCATACATTCCATGCTAGATGCTGTCCAAGTAGATATATTAAGAGGCATCCCTACTGAAAAGTTCAAACATATTAGTAAGTTCGTAGCTGAACAGATAAGTCAACTTCCAAAGGGAAGATCGTGCAGAGCAAATCGCTACTATTCTAGTACTAGTGTTTATACCAGAACTCTGATACTATCACAGGCATTAGAAAAGATAATTGAGCTCATTAATAATATCCAGATGGCGTACAGAGACAATAAGTTCTTACAGTTGTATACTCCAGAACTAAACATAACAATGAAGGACATGGAAGAACAACAGTCTAAGTTACGTTCTAGGCTTCACCAAGACTCTAATGTGGTTTACCCAGTTGAAGGTATTCAGAAGTGTGATTACTTAACACAAAATTCAAATAATACTGCCTCTTCCAAATCTGTCGTTACTGCAACTGAAGACGAAGACCATATTCAAGATTATGATGATAACAATGTTTTGGAGTTTATTCCTGCTTCAAATACACGTAATTCTAGTCATGTAACATCAAATGATGAACCTACCTTTAGTTTCATTAAGGGATCTATAGCTAAGTCTCCAGACAAATATGAGAAAGCTAGAACAGAAACGCAAGCACCATTTGGTATATATAATGTACATAAGGACACTAATAAGATTATACAGGTAGAACTTAATAATAATATAAAGAAGGATAAGGAACAGCCTGTACTTGATAACGATAATCAGATTATTATAAATGAAAGACTTAAATGTAAGTTGAAGAAACTTGATTTGGTGTATTGACTTGTGTGTGTGCCAGCCAAGTATTTGAAAGAGTATGGCTATCAGTTGCAGTACACAGAACTTGGTTTCACTAGGATTAAAAAATTCACATCATACTTACTATATACTTTTCACTCCATTCACTTACAAGGTACAGACGCTTTCGAACTATACTCTGCTAAAAGAGATATGTCTGCCTTTAGAATAAAGGAGATGAAGGGTCACGATTCGGAGGACGAAGAAGCTGTGCCATCGAAACTAGTAAATATGATTTATTTCAATTTAAAGATGTATATGTATTGTACTATTGATAATTATCAAATAATATTACATTTTTAGTCATTCAGTACTCTCAAGATGTTCGTGCCAGAAGAAGTAATGGGTGTTGGGGATCGGGTCAATAATATAGAGCCCCGAAAATTTATATCAGAAGGAATCAGTTTCTTGGAAGTTTTTGTAGTTGAAGTTTTCACACCCACATTCTTTTGGGTGCACCTTCGTGAAAATACATATGAATTTAAAAAATTGATGATCAATTTAGGGTATGTATAATTAAGGTGCACAATTATGTTATACACCATCAAACAGATAAATAAAAAAAAAATTGTCTTTGCAGCCACTTTTATACTCAGAATTCTTCGAAATATTTGATTCCACCAATTGCATTAGAGAAAGGTTTAAATTGTGCTTGTAAATACTATGACAAGTGGCACAGGGCTATCATTGAAAACATCACGCCGGATTTTTTAATTACAGTAAGTATACTCGTGATCAGTATACTAATACATAGTGTAATGAAATAATCATTGATTTCTTGAAGGTATTGTTTTATGACTATGGTACAGTAAAAACGTGTTCCCGGAATGAAGTCTATTATTTGCATAAAAAGTTTTCCAATTTACCAGCACAAGCAATTCCCTGCGGTTTGGTTAATATAATGCCACAAAAAGGATCCAAGTGGTCTCGCCATGTTACTCATGAATTTGCATTAAAAACGGCTAACATACCTTTAATAGCTACAATTGCGTCAGTTAGTATGGAGGTGAGAGATTCGTTTAAATTTACATACGTATTTTAAATTATATTTTAACTAAAATTAGCCTTGAATTAATTGGGTTCCGTTTCTTATTGCAGAACAACTCAATGATGATTGTTTTGACTGATACATCGAAGGATGAAGATGTACACATTAACGACTGGTTAGTTAAAGAGAACCTAGTAATACCAGGAAGAAAGGTGAGTGCGACAGAATGTAATGCTACTTAAGTTATAAGTATTTTAATTATTTTTCCTGTTTTAATTAGATGAACAAGGTTGATATGAACAATCTTTTATTATACACCGAGGAGAATTTGTTAAAACATCCGCACTTATGTTATGAAGAGGAGGAACTTGAAACGTTGGACGAAGAAAAACAACAGATACCTGATCGAGAGATCGTCAATGCACCCTTAATATCACCGCAAAGTATTTTAGAGAACACAGCGTTCAAGCCCTCGTCAGAATTGGTATTACGCGACGAATATAAAATGTCACGAGAAGAAAATGTTAAAAATCAGAATCTCCCGCCTCTTAATTTATTTAGATGTAATAGGAATAATCCATTTTTACAAGGTGAACAACCTGTATACGAAATACATCCTCAAGAATTTACGCAATTGTGGAACGATAATTTGTCAGTACAAGCGCAAATAAGCGAGGCGCTCAGTCTGTTGATCAATAAAGTGAATTCAGCGAAAGACGAAGATATCATAAATAATATAAAGAGTATACTTTCAAATGCTTACTCGCAAATACCAAATTGCACGGATCCTCTGAATGCAGCCATTGCAGACATTTGCAAAGATACGATTACTTCGATCAGTTCTTATCTCTGGGAAACAAATTTCGATAAGACTAAGATACCATTGTTCCTTACGTGTTCTAATAACAGTAATCATTTCAATGGGTACACTGAGCCCGTTCAAAACGGTAACGTTCAGGAAGCGAGTAACTATCCTAATTGGACGGGTAATAATTATTTAATACCTGGGAATGATTTAATTATACCGAATCGACAAAACTGGGAAGTTGAACAGTTTGACCAAAGCAAATTCAGTATGAGCGTGAAAAATTATCTTACAAAGAATAGCATCGATGCAGACTCATCAAAACATTTATCCTTAAATACCAAACTATATTTTCAAGCAGTTGGTACGTTTCAGCGTTTATTAATAATAATTAATTAATATAATCGTAGACATAATTTTGTACAATTTTTTAGAACTACAAACGGGTATAATTCACGTATTTCATTATATGCATGAAGGATGGTTGTTATTAGATGAATTTGTTGAAAAATTCACCCAATTTGCAACGAGCTGGTACTTGCTTAACGACTTAAAAACACATAATGTGTTTATCAAAGTTGAGGAAATTGACCAAACTAAGAATTCGATAGAACCTTTGAAAACTAACAGGTAATCATTACGTATTTTTTTACTCAGGAAATAATACATTCATTTACTCAAATAACAATTTACCTTTTATAGTGTTATGTTGAAATCAACGCGGGATATATTAAATGGCGTAACTAAATTATATTTAATATCATTGAATTCAGCTATACGAGCATTATATACGCTAAAAATCATTTCGCTAGACGATGTCAATGCCATATATATGTATGAAACATTTACAAGCAACTCTGTTGCATATGAAATATGGGTACGTATTATTGTTAAATTAAAAATGTATTTCTTAGTATAAGTTTCTGTTGAATAATCAATCTTTTTCGTTCTTTTTTTAGCTGATCGTGAACCATTACAATAAGTTAAAATGTGGTGTTGAACAACTATGATAACCATGCAGTTATAATTGCATAAATTGTCCCAATGAGCTGTGCATGTAATGTTAATACTTAACATGATTCACATATTCCAAGCAATATATATTGCAGTATATATATACATATATATATAT